ACTGATAGCATACGAATCAATCTGGCTTATCAGTAAGAGCTGTTCGACAGTGGAATTTGCTGCCAAGGAGTGTGGTGGAGTCTCCTTCTTTGGAGGTCTTTAAGCAGAGGCTTGACAACCATATGTCAGGAGTGCTCTGATGGTGTTTCCTGCTTGGCAGGGGGTTGGACTCGATGGCCCTTGTGGTCTATTCCAACTCTATGATTCTATGATTCTATCTGACCCAGCAAGCCCTCCCCCCTCACAAATGCAAACAAATCCCATTGTAGCCAACCACAGACAACCAACCACACCCTGCTCCATAATATATCTCACTACCAAGGAAATGTAATAAATGAATAGAAAGAGAACCTAACCAGTTGACGCTGACACAAAACCCCATATGTACACTATACAAAACAATATAAGTCTCACCAACTGACCCCTCCTCTCCCCCTTCTTCCCCAACCTTATACTGTACTCAACACTGATGTCTCACACAAATGTTACTGATTTGTAAGACAGGCTGTACAACCTGAAGAAAGAGACAAGGCATGTACTTTTGTAAACCAATAAAATCTTTAATAAAAATAAAATTTTAAAAATACAAACATAAATAAACCTTTGTTAGCTTCGCCTTTAACACCAGCCAGAGGGTTTGGGGGTTATTTTCCTCTCTGCTCCACACTTACAAGACTTCTAGGTCCTGATTTAGGATGAGGGTGAAATTTGATTCAGCTCGAATTTAAATTGCACTTTCTAAATCACTATGAGAACTGAAACACATCCATCTTTCAAAATTTGCACTTCTCTGAAATTTGCAATGCATTTATCCAGACAGGTAACATGTACAAAAATGCATGTACCAGGGCAAAGTGTGCATAAAACGTCTACATATTAGTAGACTTAGATGTATAGTATCTGAGAATTGCAGCTGGCAAATCCTGTCCTCCATTATTCCTTCATTAATCCCCTAAATTATGGAATCGTTAGAGCTTCATACATGCATACACTATCTCCAAATATAGGAGAGCATTTACGCTCACTCATTTCAATGTGCTGCCTTCTGCACTGATAAATTGGACAATTTAACAACATTCTGGTTAACGAACTTTTATGTCTTTGTGGGGCTGGAGCCATAGAGTCTGCTGATCATGTTCTGTTGCTTTGTAACTGATGTAGTGAGAGGTGGGTTGACTCTCTCCATATTAATAAATCTCATGGGAAGATCCTCTGTAGATGTAGGATTGTTCTGCTTCAGTGATGTATCTTCCAACATTACGGAGAGGGTTGCTTTTTAAATAACTTTTTTTGGTGTAGATCAGGATAATTTTTTGATCAGTTTCTTGGAGAAAAAAGTATAGTTATATAAAGTAAGCCCACAACTTAAGCACATTTAACTTGTGTGTGTTCAGCATTACACATGCAGCAATTATTATTATTATTATTATTATTAGGGGGCAGGAAGGTCCTGGGGTCCTGGGATAAAAGAGTGGCAATGCATTTTAACTATACAGTATTTTGGCTTTAGGCACAATCCTCAGAATGTACCTCCCTGGTAAGTTGCTGGCATACTGTGTCTGCTTTTAATTGTCTAGTTGTATGTTTTTAATTGTGTATACAGGACGCACACATACACCACAGAACATACATGTACAGGACACATGCACACGTGCACACGTGCGCACACACACACACACACACACACACATGTTCTCCCCTGTTCAACTGACACATGTCAGTTATTGCACCCTCTCCACCAGATGATTGAACTGACATGGGGAAACAGGAAGAAATACGGACGGTGGAAGAATGGAGATTGAAACTGACTGATTATGCAGAATTGGACAAATTAACAGGGAAGATTCAATATCAACGGGACCAAAAGTTTATCGAGGACTGGGGAAGATTTACAGATTATCTGAAAGGCATATGTGATGAACAGATAACGTTTGTTGGTTTTCAAGAGACTCTGTGAAAAATAGAGGAATATTGTTAAAAAGAGAATAAGATGAGGGAAAGAGACATTTAAAGGCAATACTAAGTTAAGAAATGCGTTAATAATATAGATGTAAACGAAAGATTGGCAGAGGAACTGAGGGAAGTCAAAAAAAGAGATGAATGTGTGATAAAATGTGAAATGATTGTATAAAAATTGTTGGAAAATGAATAAAAATATTATAAAAAAAGAAGAACTGACATGGGGAAGGGGGGAATTCATGTTCTTATCATGGAATTGGGTTGAGTAAGGAGGCTTAGAGTATGAAAAATAAACTCCTTTTTTTTAAGATTTAAAAGTTCTTAAAGTGGCATAGGTGTGGGAGGAGCAGCAGTTGAGAATTAATTGTAGGGAGTCCAAGCTAGATGATGCCTGAGCATGGAGAACTACCTAGATGAAGTTTCAGGATGAAGTCTCCAATACAGTCAAGGTCATCTTTAGTCTGATTCAGGTGTGGCAGGTAACTGGCTCCTCCCCCTGAGCCACCATTTTACACCTGGAGCCAGCTGTTGGATTTGGGGGTTTTTAGTAAAAAGGAGACTAGATCCTGTCAGCCTGAAATCTGACAACGTGTAGGATAAGAGGGAGGAAGTAGGGACTTAACTGTAATGTACACACCTTGGTAAATTTGGTCTCTCAGCTATGTAAGGTGAGTAAATGTCACTTTTCCTGGATTCCCTTGTTAAAATCCCTTTGGAGAATGGCTATGTTGTTACTTCCTTTTTTCTACATTCAAAATAAAAATATATAAGAAATATATACTCATCCCCCCTTGATCTCAGAGTTGTCATATCAGTTTAAAGAAGTTAAAAGAATAAAGGAATGTAAAGTTGAAGATCTGGTGGGGAAGGATGTAAATATATAATACACACTTCCTTCAGTGTCAAAATACTAAATGCTCTCTCTGGTATGTGTAATCATTTTCTTTCTCTCCCTCTGCCCCTCGCTGGGTGTGGGGTTTGATGTGGTAGTACATCATTAGCTAGTCACACACACACACACACACACACACACACACACACACACAGCATAAACATATCACATGTTGGTAATGACACGGTCTAAAGCAGGTGTGTGTCTGTGTGTATGAATATGACAAAATGAATATCTCTTGTCAATAAAATTCAGCCCCAAATACAAGAGGCCTCTAGTGAGCAGCCAAGGAAAGCTCTACAATAATTCACAATTGTTATAGCGAGGTCTTTGGTGACTGAGAGTGAGATATAAACTGCTGCTCATGACAGTGATCTTGCGTGTGTCATAAAACAAGCCCCATAAGGCTGAAAGGAGTGGCCATTTATTCAGATTTACTGTTGACCATAACACCAGCTAAGTACAGGGAACCCACCCCAGCTCATGTATTTTTGCTTTGACTGCACATTTTTTTTTCGTTTAGCCCAGTCAGTGAGGAAAGGTACTTCCCACTGGGCAGAGAAGAGGGAACAAAATCCAGCCTTTGAAATACACCCTGCTTGTTAGCGCATATATTTTAGACCATCTGTTTAAGAAAATGTTTTGTATAATGCGGGAGGCAAATAAAAACAGGGATCTTCAAATAGCCGGGTTTTTGTTTGTTTGTTTGTTTGTTTTGTTATCTGATTTGCTGATCACATCTTTTAAAGTGCTGATTTGACATTTTTTCAACCAGCATACAACATTCAGGAGGGAGACATTCTGCTCCCAATGGTATCTATTGCTTCTTCAGGACGTTTGCATATGCAGCTCTGAAACCTTCTTTTCCCATATATCTTTTCCTTTAAGCTTTCAAACACCATTGCATTGATGGACAATTGCAGAGCTGTTTACATTTCACAGCTGCAAAAACTGTTAAACTGCTTCTCTGCCTCCCTCCCTGATTTGGCACATGGAATAAATTAGGCAAAGCCTCTCCTCCTGGAGGGGAGGGATTGTGATCGGGAGCTGATTCCCGCACTTCGCAGGGGGCATTCCGGCCCCTGCTTGCCATCCCCGCTGACACGACACACTCCCGGGTAGGCTTCCAATCAGTGGGAAGCTCGGGGGCGGGGTTTAGCCACTCAAATGCGGCCGCGACAGCTCTCCCCTTCATTGCGCTGCCAGATTTCTTCAAGTCACCAACCCACCACTCCCGTTAGTTCAGCTCTTCTCGCTTGACCTTGCTATGGACCCATGGTTGGTCGCCTTGGTTGCCCAGGGGGGCCTGGTAGGAGTTTTTACCCAATTGGCAAACTGGCACCGGCCTCTTGGTTTTTTGCCTACCTCGTAGCAATCATCACAACTTTCCCGGTATTGGCGGTTAGGCATTGGAATGTGTTGTTGGTGTATGGAAGGGCAGGGTGTGGCCATCGCCTACCCCTTCCTTATGGGTATTCCGTTAAAGGAATCCGGCGGTCATGGATCCTGTCCGATGCCCTGTGTGGCTGAGGGCCATGGCACGACCCCCGGTGACATCAGGGGTGAGCTTATAGTTGTATTTGCATCAACAGGCTCCCCCTACTGGTGGTTAACCCTTGTTAGACTCACCCCTCTCCAAGTGGGTGGAGTCAAGATTTGCTGTTGTCCAATGCCTAAGCCAATACCTCTCACATGCTGTAATCAATAAAGGTGTGGCCTTTTCTAGCCCATTAACCTTATATACTGTGTCCACGTGTCTTTATTATTCCCAAGCCGGGGGGGGGGGTCCTCGAATCACAATCAGTTTGATCTGGTAGAGAATGTTCTGACTGTGGACCTGAGGGATAGCTCAGTTGTAGAGCATGAGAGCTGTGGGTTCAAGGCCCACATATGGCAAAACATTCCTGCATTGCAGAGGTCCCTTCCAACTCTCCAGGTGGATAATTTATTTTATCTCACTTTTTATTTGTATTGAATTTGAAATTGTTTTTAGAGAAAAATTGTTGCACATGCATTTTGATTGTTAATTCCTTTTATACAATGCAATCCACAAATAAAAGGGAATTATATAATGTCTTGAATTACATATTAGAAAGAAAACAACATTAGGTTGTTGTTGTTTTTTAAAAAAGATCAGTAGAATAAGGACCAGCACAGCAAACTTTTACTCAACTTTATGAAAATCAATGCATAAAGGTATTAAGCCTTTATGCGCTGACATTCCACCAACATTCAAAAAAGAGTAGCATTTATCCAAAATATGCCAGGAAAACCAGTTTCCATTGCTTGAGTTGTTTGGTGGCAATTCCTTAGGTCACAATGAAGATGCTTCTCCTGAAGGCTTGAGAAAAGTCAGAAAATGAGTGGAAAATTAATATTCATGGACTTAAAGCAGCTTGTGGCAATTACTTGGGGAAAGGGCTGTCCTCTAGGTCACTGAGAAATAATGTATAATTTAGGCTGCTGGGGGACAGTCAGCCTGTGTGGGACAGCAGTCATACAATGCTGATTCAGTCCCATCTCACATACTAAGTAGGGCTGGAGGTTAGATGGTCCTTGTTAAGCACCCCAAGGAACATCTGAATTATGTTGATGATTCACTGGGTTGCTCACCTCCTTGACAGGATAAGCAGCGGCTGTCAAAGTGCTGCAGGAGAACATTTAGGGCAAAACACAAATAGTGATGTTCATGGGAAATAAAAATCTCTTTAGCCTTGGACAGAGATCATCTAGAAGGGGTGTGTGTTCTAACAGGGACTAACAAACCTCATGTTGCCCTTATGAAACAGTAATAAGCAACAACCCCAAAAGTGTGATTCCCTCATAGCCAGCCACAGCCCAAATAGTCCTTTTCTCTGCCCACAAGTTTGTGGTTCCATGACACCATCCCTGAGATACAGTACTTTCTTGTTCATAGACACTCTTTGACAATGCTCTATGGAGACCTTCACAGCAAAACTTTTTGTGCACACAACTGCATGCTCAAACACACACCCTGTTCCAGTTCCTCCCATGGTTCCAATTTAGTTCTGTTCCAGGAAAGTACTGCCAGTAAAAATCTGTAACTTGCTTGTAGTAACAGCAATGTTGCAGGATTTCTCTCTCTCTCTTTCTACTCAGTAAACACCCACACAAACACCCACCCACCCACCCACCCACACCTCTACCACTTGATATCAGGAAGACAGGCAAAGGCTTTTGGAGTAATTCAGAGCTTCTAAGCCAAAACATAAAAGTACAAATAACTTCAAGCAATAGATAACCAGAGCCAGATGAGAGCAAGAAGACATTGAGCAAATGCAAAGGAAGGAGTTTATGGTTGGCTGATTTCCCCTCTGATAAAGCGCCAAATTACTTGTCACTTTATCCTTTTCAGAATTGCTTTCTTAATTTTCATTACCACAATTGCAATTTGTACAAGTACCCTATTTGAGAATGCATTGAATGTGGTTTTAGTTGTACTAATCCGTTACATCCATATTCCTTCCAGACTCCATCAGTTATATGGCCCTTTCTTCCTAATATATTTTTACATTTCACCATCTAGTTAGTATCATAAATTCAAAATCTGCTGAACGTACCTGAAATATATTGAAACAGAGTCATTCTAATTTGCTTGTCTGTACTTATTAGGGCTCAGGAAAGAGCTGAGCTAAAGTATTATTGAGCTGGGGTTTGCAAGGGGTGGGTGGGAATTAGAGCACTGGGATTCCTGAAATGCCTCCCAGTGCCTTCCCAGTTGTACGTTTAATTCACCACTTCTGGGATTGCTCCTGTCTTCAAGCATGACTCCACAGTGGTCCACAGCATAGCACTGGGAGATAGCAATCTGTAATGATGTTAACCAAGGTAACTAGGCAACCAGACATCTCTTCCAGGTAGCTTACAGGGCAGCCCTGGAAGACTAGAAGAGTCACCCACTTGCTTAAGCAGCTAGGCTGCCCTCCTCATCTTCCTGTGCTGTGCTGTGAGCCACTGTACACTGCTAGGAAAGAAGGAAATAACTCCACATTGCCAATGCACCTGGAAGACAGTCCCTGCATATCTGGTGGTTCTTAGTTCACCACAAGAAGAGCCAGCTGGTTGCTGATGCAAGGCTGAAACTGAGTGGATGGAGAAAGAGAAAAGCATCCTATTGATGCCAAAGCAGAGCAGAGATGTGCTTCCTTCTCCCTGTTCCTGGCCCAATGGACAAAATCTATTGGAAGGGGAGGGCAGTCCTGTAGTCTAAGTTTCTGTTTCAGCTCAATTAATAGCAAGCCCAAACCACTGACCTCATTTTAAAAAGCATATCCTGCCAGCTTTCTGCATTCACCACAAAAACATTCTCTTGTACTGTATTGTGTCTTGGACGCAGGTGGCACTGTGGTCTAAACCACTGAGCCTCTTGGGCTTGCCGATCAGAAGATCGGCGGTTCGAATCCCCACAATGGGGTGAGCTCCCATTGCTCTATCCCAGCTCCTGCCAACACAGCACTTTGAAAGCACACCAGTGCAAGTAGATGAATAGGTACTGCTGTGGCAGGAAGGTAAACAGTGTTTCTGTGCTCTCTGATTTCTGTCATGGTGTTCCGTTGCACCAGAAGCGGTGCCACATGACCTGGAAAGCTGTCTGTGGACAAATGCCGGCTCCCTTGGCCTGAAAGCAAGATGACCACTGCAAACCCATAGTCACCTATGACTGGACTTAACCATCCAGGGGTCCTTTACCTTTACTTTACCTTTACATTCTCTTGTTGGGGTAGTCAGCACTGCTTTCTTCCATGTTCTCATTGGCTGAGCCACCCAGTCCTACCACTAGGCAGTTAAGGGACCACCACAGATTATACTGCAATGGGGGGGGTGACAACAGTATAGATTTCTTTGTTCTTGCCATCTTTAGCTTCTTTTGCCTACACTGTCATATAATTCTCCTGGCTGGGTGTAATATGTGATTTAATTTATTTACTTGCAATATTATACCTTGTCTTTCTGACTCACAGCAGGCCTCCGGGGCGAATGGCAATAAGTGAAAATGGATAAATAATAACACAATAATAAGATTTTTTCATAAGGCAGAGGAGACTTAACAGAAGATCTAGGGAACAACAACAGGAATTAGATGTTGTTGCTGGTGATCATTGTATTTCAATTGCTGCTCTTGGAAGATTCCACAGATACCATGGGGGAGAATAGCTCCCACTTCTAAGTATGCTACCAAGAAATCGAGGCTCTGGTAGTACCAGATGGTTTAGTCCCTGGGGGAGTGGGGTGGAGTATCTCCTCACATGGCCAGCCAGACAGTCTGATCACAGGAGGGAATGGTGGAGATGAAAACAATGGAAAATGTCCACTCCCAATGCACTTCCACTCCCATTGGCATCCGCCCTGTGGAACACCCTCCCACCAGATGTCAAAGAAAACAACAACTACCAGACTTTTAGAAGACATCCGAAGGCAGCCCTGTTTAGGGAAGCTTGTAATGTTTGATGCATTACTGTATTTTAATATTTTGTTGGAAGCCACCCAGAGTGGCTGGGGATGACCGGCCAGATGGGCGGGGTATAAATACTATTATTATTATTATTATTATTATTATTATTATATGTTGCTCCTGATGGCGGGTTTGTCATTGCTCTATTTTGCTTTTGTACAGTCACATCAAGGTGCTGCATCATGGATTCTTGTAAACAAAGAGTTCATGGACTCTTTGCTATTCCAGATATTAGCCACTGCTATACATTGATATATACTTGTTTGTTCCATTGCCACAGGTGGAACTCTCAATGTGTACGAAATATGTAGTGCTGCCTGAAGCACATGATGTCCTCCTTCCTTTACAAATGTAATCCCTGATGGTCAGGTGGGCCAAGCCCATCTATTTCCAGTTAGTGTCACTTAGCAAGTGTTCATTCAAAAGTCCATTTAACCCCATTGCCACATTAATCTGCTATTTTATTTTATTTGTATAAAAGGTTGTGCAAAAATTAACATGCACACACAGTGATTGTGCGGGTGGAATGTATTCTTTGTCTACTTCTTATCCCTTCTCTTTCTGGGATGTGAAACACATAGCAGTCAAGTAAAGCATTACTAGAATGGACATGCTAGGGGGTGCTTTGTACCAGCCAGGAGAAAACTTACTGTTTCCTCCTGAGCTGGGACAAACTTCCTCTGCATGTGACTAGATGTGGGCGTGGCCTAATCTGGGTAGGGGAGCACACCTCTTTCTTTTGCTCCTTTTCTCCATTTTGCTTTTTTACTTGTTAGCAGAAGTGACTGCGTGTCTGCAGTCATTTGGGACTAACTCGCTTATGGGATAGTTCCACATGTATATATACTTTTGTAACCTAAGTCTGCCTTCAAGGATCCAACTGTGAACTGAATGAATGTGAGTAAACTACTTTTATATTGACTTTAATAAGATTGTCGTGTCTATTCTTTTAAAGAGAATAGAAGGGATCTTACCAGGAATCTTATATAGAGATTCAGATGAGCCTGCAACAAGCAAACCACTGTGCGTTTAAAGGGGAATGTTTAAACTCTCCTAAGATATAGAACTTGCTAACGCAAGTTCGGAACAATATCATTAAACAATATATCCTCTCCTGCCTCCCTGAACATTCCCACACTCTTCCCATTTCCTCTTCTATCCCATAATTTGGATACACAATTTCCAATAAAACTTACGTAGTTGCATGAATATTGGAGAGGCCTCTTTCTAGTTTTTACCCTTTTCATTTTGTTATGACTGACATGCACTGTTTCCTGCTGTAGCAATCAACTTCTAATTAATCCGTGGTTGATTCCAACCATATAAAAGTCCCAAAGGCAAACTTTGACATGTGGAAATGCAATCGTTCCGGACTTGCTGATGATTTTATTTTTTCACAGTTTTGTTTCAAGTTTGGGTAGGCTTCAACGTACAGTTTCCCATTTTCTCCTACACCATCCAAGGAGCCACTCTTATGCTCCTTGATTTGATGCTACATGAAACACAAAGCCACAGAGAATTAGACCAAGTGAAAAATCCCCATCGGGCTAGGTGATAACAATTTCAGCTACTTCATCAAGAATTTTCAGATGCCCAAGAGGAAGAATGGATTATGAGCCATCAAAGAGCTTTAGAGCCCACAACCTTCTAGGCTTTATCACTTGTAGCTTAATTGCTGGGCTTAAGTTTATAGTGCCAGCAAAAAGATTCACCTGGTAACATTTCTGACCGTATTTTCTATGAGTGTTTCATAGAGTTCCTGGCAATTTGGGCTGCAATCCTGTGCTCAGCTAGGAGTAAGCTCCATTGAACTTGAACTTCCTTCTGAATAGGCACCTATAAGAGTGCAACCTTAGTCTATTTTCAGAGAAGACAAGTTTGCACTCTTGTTGTTATCTCAAAAGAAGAGGAAAATATGCACGCTTCACATTTAAACCACTGTATAGGATTAATATTGGCAGAAAATAGATATCAAATTCTAAACTAATAAGAAACCCAAAGAGTGGGAGCTCAGATGCCAGTGATGGCAACCAAGTAATAAAGTCAATGTCTTTTTGACTCTCCTTGTGGCTAGCATGTGCTCCAACATGTTTATTGTTCCTCTTGAATCATCCACTGTCGTTCCAGAGAACAAGATGCTAGAATAAGTGGGCCTTTTGGTCTGGTCGAGCTGGGCTTGTCCTTTGCAATCTGAAAGCAAGGGGCTGAAATGCCCCTTGTGGCGTTTGCCTCCTAGGATGGGTCAAGGAAAGGGTTAAAATGGGTGTGATGTGATTGGCCAGTGAGAATGCAAGGGGGGAGTAAAAGATAGAGTGGGAGGTTTTGAAAAGTCAGTTGAGGTTTGGGAGTTGGGAGTTGAGGTTTGTCAGTTGGGAGTTGAGGTTTGTCAGTTGGGAGTTGAGGTTTGGGTGTTGGAGAAGGAGGAGGGTGGAATAGGCAGTGGGTTGGTCAAGTTGTATTGTGAGAGAGTGAGAGGAATTGTTAGGGAGTTAGATAGATAGTTGGGAATAATTCAGTTTGAAGTTGTTAGGAACTAAGATTTAAGAAACTGACAAGAGAAAAATAAACCGAAACCATACGCTTATTCCTGCACTTAAAAATAAACTTGATTATTTGTTTATGTTAACAACTGTCTGGACTCCGTGTGTCCCTGTGAGAAGCGGGGTGGTGGCAGTGAAGAAAGCAACCACAGTGGTGGCACAGGGTCAATAGACCGTGAAACGTCCGGGGGCCCTGTGTGATCGCCACACCCCTGTTGTGATCATCCTTGGAATTTAATGCCAGAGATATTGTGCTTTACTATCCCTCAACAGTATAGTTTTGGAGAAGAGTTGAAAGCGTTTTAAAAGGATGCTTGTTGTAGTTTTGTAGTGGGTACATTCATTCGATTGTCACCTCCCCCACCAACCAACCCCCCCCCCACATGACTAGAGGTGACAGCAGGACAAACCATGCTTTTTTCAAAACTATTGGCTCTCTTTTAAAAAATAAACAACAATGGTCTGTTTCCAGTCCAACTTTTCTTTTCCATAGGAAAATTGCCAATTGCCATTCAATTTAGAATCAAGATGGTTTTTAACTCCCTGCAACCTGTATAACAGACCTTGCCTCCATCATCCAAAATTACCACAAAGCCTTAACGTAAACCCATTCACTATCCCATTACAATTTTCAGCTCATACATATTTACCAGCCTGAATATTTCCCAAGTTGTTGCACCTTCCTAAGTTTCCTTCAAATGTGCCAACCAGATCTGTATATGAATGTGGCATTTGTGTAGGATTGTGTTCCTAGGATCTGACGTATGCTTTAAATACCTCCAGCAACACCATCCTCTGCATGAAATTATGGGCATATGGAATATCTAGCAGCACATTAGCTTCTTGGAAACAGACTCTACAGAAGAACCTTAGGAACGTGCATCACGGGGAAGGAGGAGTAATCAATTTTGAGTCATAATGCTATATATTCTGCGTCGAGAGACCAGATTGCATTAAACCACTTTCAGTATACTTTAGTAATGAAATGAATTGTCCTGTGCATGAAGTATATTGCTTTTACTCAAGGAAAGCAGATGGACACATTCACTAGGTACCGCCTGAAAGCCACATTTTACATTGCATTGTATGTCATGGGAGTGTGTTACAAGTCAAGATACAAATGGGGAAGAATTATTAGATTAGTGCATATGTGTGGCTGGCCATGTGCAGCGTGTTCCCTGAGACATATTGCAGTTACTCAGAAAGGTGCTTCAGGGCTGCTTTTCGGTGAAGTCTGGTCTACCTAGTCTTTGGTAGTAGCAACCAATGACTGTCATTTTAGATTTCAGACAGGTTTTTATTTGTTTTTTTCAAATGTAAATTTAAATTCAGTTCTCCAGATTTCAACATCAGTTTGAAAATATATATATACATATATATATATATATACATATATATATATATATATATACATATATATATATTTCTGCAAGCAATTTCTTCTAACATAATTCATTTTGCATATTATTTTCACTAATATTTCTGGGCACACTTTACCCAATATTTTCATTTTTGCATGCATTACTTGGTTGTAGGGCCATATTGCAAAATTTGGAGGTGTGAATTTTGAAGGTTGACTGTGTCTAGGTTTATATATGATTTCAGAAAGTGCAATTCAGCTAGATTCTCTTCTAAATGCAATTGAATCAAATTTATTCCCTGTACCTAGAAGGAAGGCTTTCCCTCATCATATTGCTATCTCCAGTGGAGTATCCCCCCCACCCCACTTCAGAAGTGTATCATAGCAGTTATGGGAAAAAGTAATAGCTTGTTGTTCTGTGTACTCTTTTTTAAAAAAAATAATTACTATTATTATTCATCTCAAACACCTAGCCAGATCAAGTATTATCCTATAAAATAAACAGACATGCAAATCAAAACAATTAAAAAATGCTTACACACATATATATTGGGTGAAACGACGTTTAAATAAAATATAAACCCTCTTTGATTTAAATTCTTCTGCAATAAATTATTTACTATGGTTGCCCAATGTCCAATTATAGACTGGGTTTTTAAGGCTGCCTTTAAAGCAAAGCTGACATGCAATCTGTTTCACTATTCTTAGTAACCCTCACATTTTAACAATCGCTTCTTTTTGTGCTAATTGCAATTTATTATATAATGTACATGGTTTTATAGCAGTAACTGATACAAGACAACTGCAATTTCAGTTACTGAATCTTTAATATGTGTCAGAAGTGAAACAGCAACACGTAAGTGGACTTACTTTTTGCTGTAAGGGGTTTCAAAGAATGCTTCCACACATCAGTAAAAATCTCATTTTAACACTGAAGCAAAACCAGCACATAACATTGTCATCAGTGCAGTCCTAAGGATGCTTACTAAGGAATAAGCCCCTTTGAAGTTAACGGCACCTGCTTCTGAGTTATACAGGCTTATGATTGCTCTGTAGGCCTATAAACTCTTAAAGACATATATGCATAAAAATATACTTAATGTCTGGCGATGATGGAGCTCATTCAGATTTAAATCCACCATTGCTTTACATCACAAATTGGAAGATCATGCATTACTTATTACATATATTTGTAAGTTATCTACTGTTGTCCTGCCAACAAGTGAGGATAGAGCCCTTGATCTATTAATCCAGGAAGTTCACATTTTCCGAAACAGAGAGCTTTCGGGAACATCCTCACATGGTACGTTCAACGTCTAAGCAAATGTTCCAGGCAAAAAGTGTAATCTGGCCTGTTAAACTGATACGACGTTAAGCACTGCACGAGGGTGCCAAATTGGCAAGTGAGATGAGTAAATTTCATCATGGAAATTAGCTCTCTGGAAGTCTCTGAATTTTCATTAAATGTCAATGTGAATGTACTACGGGTGTGATACAACCCTTTCCCCATTCCTTCCCCACATCTAAATAATGTTGTAGAGGACTGAGTAGTCAGGGGCTCCCTTTCTCCTCCCTCAGAAGGAGCCATGGGATCTGTGCTGGAAGGCTTGGAGAGAGGGAACCAGAATTCATGCCCTCACTGGCACAAATTCAATATCATCCTCATATCATTCTAACTAATTTGTCATAGCAACTATGTGAAACTTCCCCACTTGGCATCATAATCTGAATGATTTGGTTAGGTGTTGTTTTTTTTTTAAGAACTCTGATTCATCTCCAAATGAAAACACCTAGAAAGGAGTAGGTTTATGTTTTGGTTTTTTGGCTTGCAGAAGGAATAACAGGATCTGTTTGGATAATTGCTACAGTCCAGTGCAATACACAAATATAATACTAGAGGAGCTGCTCTTCGGCACTTCATTTGCCTTTGCAATGAAGGAGGACATTAAAATGGAAACGTCTTTCTGAGTACCGGATGCCAACACCTTGTACTCACTCATGACTAGCAGGATTTATTTCATCACCAGGCGCTGCGCCAGTTGATTCTTGAGACAAAACCCAGCTACTCATTATGAGGCTTTGTGCTGCTGATTATGAGGCACTTAGAAATGGAACAAGATTGCAGATATGGGTTTGTTTGTTTGTTTGTTTGTTTGTTTGTTTGTTTGTTTAGTTTCGTTGTCACAGGTCTAAACAGAGAAGCCAAGCAACGTGCCTATGAGTTCTATAGATGCATGGCCATCAGTGAGCCTTCCAAGAAGAATCATCAAGGAGCAAATGTGTGGGTCTCAGTGGTTCACATCAAAGAGAAGGTTCCAGACTAGGATGTTGTTGTTCTTTAGTCATTTAGTCATGTCCGACTCTTTGTGACCCCTTGGACCAGAGCACGCCAGGCACCCCTGTCTTCCACTGCCTCCCACAGTTTGGTCAAACTCATGCTGGTAGCTTCGAGAATACTGTCCAACCATCTCGTCCTCTGTCGTCCCCTTCTCCTTGTGCCCTCCATCTTTCCCAACATCAGGGTCTTTTCCAGGGAGTCTTCTCTTCTCATGACGTGGCCAAAGTATTGGAGCCTCAGCTTCACGATCTGTCCTTCCAGTGAGCACTCAGGGCTGATTTCCTTCAGAATGGATAGGTTTGATCTTCTTGCAGTCTATGGGACTCTCAAGAGTCTCCTCCAACACCATAATTCAAAAGCATCAATTCTTCAGCGATCAGACAAGGATATTGCCCCACAAACTCCTTGGTAGCTCAACTCAGCTGGTTTTCACATATGGCTTAAACTAGTGATGGATCTGAAGATTACCTGAGCATAGCTTATAATAAGACTGAATTTATGGTTTTTGTATCAGCATGAAGTAACATCTTCTCCAGCTTGGATTAAAATCCAAGCCAGAGAACTGTAGCCCTCCCTAAGCCCCTGAATTCTACCCATTCTACCTCCCAGCTCTCTCTATGCTACTTGCTCCTTCTTGCCTTCTCACCCCACTTCTTGTGCAGCTCCCACAGAAAAGGAAGGGAAAGAGCTCACTCTCTTCCCCTATATCCTCTGTAATGTATGACACACTGCTGTGGTTTGCTGTCAGGGCCAATAAACCTTAGCATCACCAGCTTGAATTCAAGCTAGCAATGCAAAGGACGTTCATCTGTGGGTGCAGTTTGAGCCATGCTCACAAAGAGATTTTTATTTTATTTTTTAATATGGATTATCTGTTGTCACTGTGATATCACATGATTAGCAGGTGGGAGGTCCCAACCTCTTGTGAAAATGGTCCATAGCATGAAGAGACCAGGACCTGGCTCATGCATACATGGTTACTTAACTTACAGTGAATAAAGCAAGGACCATCTTCAATCTATTCCCTCTCTTAAGAGTTGTCCTTATGCTCCCATGTTGCCTTTGACCCATGCTATGGTCATAAGCTAAAAGATGGAGTCAGTACTAACCGTGATCTGATTCCAAAGCACAGTCCCACCATCTCCAATGTTTTTGTTGTTGTTATTTTTATCTCTGTCCTGCCCGCCTCCCATACTTTCTAATTTCTGTAGCCTGCAGCTGGGTCTTTAAAAATGGGTATTATTTTTTTCCACCCAGCACTGGCAAAGAGTAAATACCAAAGTCAAAATCTGCAATGATGAAAGAATAAGGTAGACAATCTCTGTGTAGGAAAAGTGTGTGCATATGAATGTTTATTTTGCAGCAGCTATATGGATTGGATCAATTTTCAG